AAATAGAACTACCATACGATCCAGCCATCCCACTACTGGGTATTTATCCAAAGAGCTTGAAGTCAGCAATCCCAAAAGTCCTGTGCACCCCAATGTTTATTGCAGCGCTGTTTACAATAGCCAAGACATGGAAGCAACCTAAGTGTCCAGCAACAGACGAATGGATAAAGAAGATGTGGTACATATATACAATGGAATACTACTCTGCTGCAAAACAGAACAAAATCATTCCATTTGCAATAACATGGATGGACCTTGAGAGAATTATGTTAAGTGAAATAAGCCAGCGAGAGAAGGATAATCTGTGTATGACTCCACTCATATGAGGAATTTAAAATTATGAACTAAGAACAGTTTAGTGGATACCAGGGGAAAGGTGGGGTGGGGGGTGGGCACAAAGGGTGAAGTGGTGCACCTACAACATGACTGACAAACATTAATGTACAACTGAAATTTCACAAGATTGTAACCTATCAATAACTCAATTAAAAAAAAAAGGGATCCCACTGTGAATCCTTCCTCTGTCCCTTTGAGATGTCTCCGTACCTCCTACAACCCAGGAGAGTCTTTCTCAAGGACCCGAGAGCCATTCCTTTGAGATGGAATCCTCAGGAAGGATAGGGCCTCAGTTTCCCAGTCTCTGTGCAGGATGCAATCCTAACTTCCATAACTGCCAGCGGCAGACACAGCTGGCCTCATGTATTTACACTGACCACCCTTTGTGAGTTTTCTCTTGAGCCCCTCCTAGCTCCCTCTGTCCCTTTAAAAAGCCCGTCACCTCTGGGCAAATCAGTACAGAGCTCAGCTCTTTCCCCTGCTGTCGAGAGTTACTGAATAAACTCTGTTCTCACCACTTTAACTAATGTCCAACTGTGTTTCTCTTTGGCCACATATCCTATGCTGCCGACACATGGAGAGAGATGAGGACTGAAGGGGAGTGGAGGGAGAGTTAACGTTTCATGGGGACAGAGTTTCACTTTGGGAAGATGAAAAGTTCTGGAAATGGATGCTGGGGATGGTTGCACAACAATGTAAACGTGCTGAATGCCACTGAATGGTACACTCAAAAATGGGTGAGGTGGTCAATTTTATGTTATGTGTATTTTACTACAATTTAAAAAAAAAAAAAAAAACGGGGGCCAGCCCCGTGGCCCAGTGGTTAAGTTCACGTGCTCCACTTCTGTGGCCCGGGGTTTCGCTGGTTCGAATCCTGGGAGTTGACAAATAGAAATGGCAAGCAATAGGATATATTGGAGTATATGAGGAAGCCATTTGATGTAAACCTAATTCGGCCTGACTTTGTTTTTCCAAAAGGGCCTGACATGGCCATCGAGCATGCATTGTATACCTGCTCTAAACATTTCTTATGGCCAGAACAAATGCCCTTAAGATAAAGGTGCAACTTCCCCCCACATTGGCATTTCCTTAAGGATAAGCATCTCTTCCTAGGCTAGGAACTGATTGCTGCATTCACCTTTGACCACCCAGCTCACCTGTGACCACCCAGCTCGAGACAACAGACCTGCCACCCTGCTGTGTCCACCGAGGCAGCAGACCTACCTGCTGTTTCCATCAATCGCTGTGCCGACAGAGCAGTCTCGCGACTATTGTAAAGGAGACATTTCAATCCTGTGTGAAACACCTTCTTTGGGGGTATATAACCACTCTGTGCACCCCACTTCTTTGGTGCCCTTTCTTCCTTTGGGAAGAAAGGCCCCGGGCCATGGTCCTCACATTTAGCTCAGAATAAACTCACCCAAATTTTCATTTATAGATTGGTTATGGATTATTTTCGTCGACAGTGTGGACATGGCACCACTCGTCAAGCCACACTGAGGCGGCATCCCACATGCCACAACTAGAAGGACCCACAACTAAATATACAACTATGTCCTGGGGGGCTTTGGGGAGAAAAAGGAAAAATAAAATCTTTAAAAAAAATACTCACATCAGAAAGTGGAGAACAGCTTTGAAAGTAATTTAAGATTAGCCAAAAAAACTTAATTACCAGTTTGGAATTATTTTTAGGTTTACACAATGAGCCACAGTTATCCTTGAACTTGCTTTGGGAGCTCAGGGGCCAGGGCACCACGAGTAGGCAGCAACCAAGACACCTCGACAGAGCCTTCTCTCTGGTTAGACAGATACGTGCACTTCACTTGGGCAGGCTAGGGATTGAGGAACAGTTAATGGTCAGAGTGTGTGTGTGCGTGGTTTGTTTTGACCAACATGGTGCAATCCCTGGGGATGTGCTCATATAAACCAAGCTGTTAGGAACATGAGTTGCTGTTAGCACCCACCAATGACTGGAAAATGCAAGCATTTATGTGACAAAAAACCCTGTGTTTGTCACAAATCCATAAGCTGTGATACTACTGTAGGGGAGGAAGACAATTCCTCTACCCTCTAGGTCCTTCTGTCTGGTCTAAGAAAAAAATTGACATGAAACAGAGTAACAGGAGAAAATCAAACAAAGCTTTATAACATGTGTACATGAGAAGACCCAGGAAAACTGAGCAACTCGCCAGAATGGCCAAAGCCACCACCTTAAAAATCATCTTCAGCTAAAGACAAAGGAGGACGTTGCAGAGGACGTTGCAGGGTAGTGGTTTGGGGCTTCAAAGTGGAGGAAGGCAATTCACATGGAGATGAAAATGCAAATGTTTGTTAAACAAGCGTTTCCTGGGCCAGCTATAGACAATGCTATCTTAGGGTATTAGCTCCTTTCTGGAACAGGCCTCCTATCTTAAATTCTTCTGGGCAGCTAGGGGGAAGGTCAATTTATTTCAGTCTTTTGTGCTTAAAAATAATCAAGCCAAACAGACACATTTTGAGGTGGCCAATACTGATCCCCCACACCACGCTTGAGAATAAGGCTTAGGATCCTTTTTTTACTTCTTCCTGATTTTCTAAAGCAGCAGCTCCTCATCCCTGAACGAAACACAGGGTCCACCCTCCCTGTAGTCAGCAGAGCAGCTGATCCAGCCAAGAGCACTGAGACCTCTGCCATGGAGCACTGTGTTTGTCACGCCTATGTCAGCCCAAGAGGCCTCATAGAATCTTACGAAATAACTTTTGCTTGCCATCCTATGTTCAGTTGGTTGGACTTAATTGCTCTTGAATGTCTGGGCTCCTGGGGAAAGTCCAAGCACAGGTCCACATGCGGCTGTCCGGCCAAGCATATCTTCTCATCACGTTTCTGAATATCAAGACACTCCTCCTAACCTGGATGGGACTAAGGAAGTCTTTGCAAATAAATTAGAAAACTCAGTGAAGGCCCAGGATAGCACGCTCCAAGTAATACAAACACAAATATGACATTTGGGACTGCAACTGAGTCCCGTCCACTGCAGGGGCCCACCCGGGACCAGGTTATGAACACTGCAACAACATGCTCCCGATTTTAACACCTGGATTTTTGGACCCCGCCTCATGGTGCAGTGTGTGGTTCAGATGTTTGCTTTGGGGGCTTGTGGTTCCCACCTCAGCCATTGCATTTCGGCTCTGCCTGGGGCAAGACTGTTAAGGAGCTGCCTTCCCCACGCCCTCGCCCTCACTACAGAATGAGACACTCCAGTAAGTGTGGAGGCCACAGACACCATGAGGCAGCCATACCCCCATACCGCCTACATCCTGCCAAGCACTGCTGCCACAACCCTATTTGATTTCCTCTTCCTCTCCATCCACCGTGGAGGGAAAGTGTGCAAACTACAGTCAACTATCAGTAGCTACTCAAACGGAAGTCAAAACTTTGATGTTCCTCTTTGGGCCAGCCCCATGGCTGACTGGTTAAGTTAGTGTGCTCCGCTTCGGCGGCCCAGGGTCTCGTTGTTTCAGATCCTGGGCGCAGACATGGCACTGCTCATCAAGCCATGCTGAGGTGGCATCCCTACATGCCACAACTAGAAGGACCCACAACTAAAAATATACAACTATGTACCAGGGGGCTTTGGGGAGAAAAAGGAAAAATAAAATCTTTAAAACAAAGAAAAAAAAAACTTTGATGTTCCCATTTTACGGACAAGGAGACCGAGGCTCAGAAAGGTAAAGTCACCGCCCATGATCAAACAGCAAACGGGCCCAGGGAGACCTCCTCCGGCACACCTGCCTCCTCCCCGAAGGCATTGCCTGCTACTGCTCTCCACACCTAAGCAAAGCACATGCAAGGACGTGTCAGTTCTTTCCATCCAGATTGACCGTGTCCTGCTGCAGGGCCTAGTCCTCAGCCAAGGAAGCCAGCTCAGCCCTGTCACCATTCTAACATGGCAACGGTCAGCCAGCAATTGAAGGCCTCCTATTCAGAATGTAGGCTGGGGCTGCAGCTCTGTTTTCTATTGGAAAAGAACAGACTCGTTGTTGTTTCAGGCCTCCTGTAAAACAGGGATAGGCTACCCATGAGCTATGGGTTGAGAGAGGCCCCCCCATAGAAGGTATGGGGGTGTTCTACCCCCCAGGACCTCAGAATGTGACCTTATTTGGAGACAGGGTCTTCACAGAGGTGACGAAGTTGAAGTGCGGTGGTTAGGGTGGGCCCTAATCTAATCTGACAGATGTCCTTTAAAAAGGGGACATGTGGACACACAGACACACACAGAGGGGAGACGATGAGAAGACAGGGAGGAGACAGCCGTCTACAAGCCAAGGAGAGAGGCCTGGAACGCATCCTTCCCTCAGCCCTCAAAAGGAGCCAACCCTGCCCGCGCCTTGATCTCGGACTTCTGGCCTCCGGAACTGGCAGACGGTCCGTTTCTGTTGTTTGAGGCGCCCGGTCTGTGGTACTTTGTTACAGCAGCCCCAGCAAATACACCACAGAAGCATCGAGAAGGTCCCTTGCACCCTTCATGACCAACAGTTGTACAACAGTGTGCTCTTTTCCCAGCCACTAGGGCAGACAAAACCTCAGAGCTGCATTCACATCAGGCAGACTCTGCAGTAACATATATTTTCTATGTATCACATAGTAATACATGCAAATTATAGGCACTTAGAAAACACACAAATACATAAGCAACACTTTTAATCACCCACATTCATCCAAATGGTAGCAGGATGTGCACCTGCAGCTTTGACTTTTTCACTGGGCGTCACACTTTGTACATAATTTTGTCTACTGGCTTTTTCACACCAACATGCTACAGAGTGTGTTCCATGTGACAGATGTTCACAATACTGGCTGAGCAGGCCCACATGGTCCAGAAGTCCAGCCTCTTATTTCATCATGATCTTTGATGGCTACAAGTGATGGTGCAGCAGGCTGAGGACACTTCCCAAGTGCTTGTTCCAGCCCGGCAAACCAGCCCCCAGGAAGGGGCAATGTCACAGGCCTGTCCCCTGCACCTTGCCAGCAGGGCACCAGAAGTCTTCATTTGTTGCTATTTTGACATCACTTTTTGTTTAGTTTGAATCCGTATTGTTTTAGCTACTAATGAGAGAGAAATGCATTCTTACTGTGCTTATTTTATTGCTCATCTAGATTTCTCTTAAGCATTGACCAGCAGGTAGCAGAGGGGGCACACGTGTAAGCAATGGGAATGACACAGGTTTCAGGGGGATATGCTTCTAGCTGTCTGTCTCTACCACTCAAACCCAGGGCTGTGAAGATCAAGGGGTCACAGCTAATAAGGCAGGCAGGCTGCTTCCCTCATGGGAAGAATCCAACCACTTGTTTCAGAAGCTCAACCTAACTAAAGCCAGAAAGGAAGAAAGCGGAATCCCTCACATCCGGGTGAATGGCCTGATTTAAAATCCTTGGGGTCTTCTGCAGAACCAGCCCTAGAGAGTGCGACAAGAAGGAAGGAGGCAGGTAGCAAGGACGCCCAGCCTTCAGAAAGGGGAGATTCAAAAGAGCAGCGGTTGCCCGACAATGCCCGGTTCCACACCCAGACCCTGACTCAGCTAGTCTAGGGCCCAGGCGGGAGCATCTGTAAAGCTCCCAGCTGCTGGGGCTGTGCAGCCCACCTGGTGCCACTGCCAGAGCCTGAGGAAAGTTCTCCAGGAAGAGAACGTCCGCTCTCTCACTGCTCCTGCATCTCACCTTTTTTCTTTCAACCCCCTTTCAGAAGAGGGAGTTGGTCAGAGATATGCCTTCGTTCACCCTCTTAGAAGCATGAAGCCCATCCCCAGGCAGCCAGTAGCCGCTACCCAGGGTGCAGGTGGTCCAATGGCTCCGTCCTACTGCACTATACCCCCTTCTCCTGCCCACACCCACTGGCCCTGGCAGCAGCGTCCAGCCTAAAGAACAAGAGTCTGCACGCCTGCAAGGGCCTGTCCCACACCGAACTCCAGCTTCCCAGCGGCCACCATCACCCCGGGGAACAACCCCTTGAACAGAGCTGCACGTCCTGAAGACACCTGCCTTTGACTGCATTTGTCCTAATCTGTGGGCTCCAGAAGAGGCCCTGGTGCTGGGTTAAATGGTAGCCCCAAAAGATATGCACACGTTCTAACCCCCAGGACTTGTGATTATGACCTTATTTGGAAAAAGGGTTTTTGTGGATGTAATGAAGGTAAAAATCTCAAGATGAGATCATCTTGGATGATATAGGTGAGCCCTAAACCCGATGACTGGTGTCCCTGTAAGAGACAGAAGAGAAGACACAGTCAGATGAAGAGGCCACGTAACCATGGAGGCAAAGACTGGAGTGATGTGTCCACCAGCTGAGGAGCACCAAGGACAACCACCGGAAGCTGGGAGAGAGGCCCGGACCAGACTCCCCCTCACAGCCTCCAGAAAGAATCAACCCTGCCCACACCCTGATTTCAGACTTCTGGCCTCCAGAACCGTAAAAGAATGAATTCCTGCTGATTTAAGCCACCAAGTTTATGGTAATTTGTTACAGGAGCCATGGGAAACTAATACACCCCCAAAAAACTAAAAGTGCTCTTGTAGAAAAATTATAGGATTGGGATAGAAATGTGGCACCCACGAGCAGAGAACCTGTCTGTGCCTTTAACATTTTTCTGAAGCACAATCTGCAATTAGACACCCGGGCTTCAGGAAATGGACAAGTTGCTCCCACCCTCCAGATGCCAAGACAGCCCCGGCCCAGGCTTGTTTTCAGTCTCAATACTAGACTTCCATCCTAATTCTGCTCAGCTCTCTCATTGCCAAGTACCAGGAAGCCCCACGAGAAGACGCAGGGCCAGATCCGCAATACCCCATTCCTGACCTGGGAAGCTGGGAGGAGGGCAGGGCGAGGGCCAGGGCACCAAGGAGCAAACGATGGGCCGTCGTCCCATTCTCCCTCCACTTTCAACGTCCTCTCTTTACTACAGTTGCAGGGTGAATGCCCATGGCTCTGCAATCCTAGGAAATACTCAGCATCTTGCACAACAACAAGGAAGAGTTCTCTGGTGTTTGTAATCTGCCAATCGTTGCCAAGTGGCTCCTGTTCGAACGCAAGGCTAGGACGTCACAAACTTCTGGAATGTGATGAAAGACGGCCACCACCACTCACATTGGGCGGCCGTGCTCTCGCAGTGTTAGGAAGAGGAACGGAAAAGCGTGTATGCAGGAAGCAGTCCTCCCTCAGACCACAGGGCGGCCTCAACAACTCCAACCCCAAAGCCCTTTATCCCAAAGGTGGATAAACGTGATGGCGCAAAGGTAACAAACCGAGTCCCAGAAACCCAGCCCAAAGGCGAGCAGGAAAAGATCACTGCAACTTCCTCACACCCAAGAGCGGATCCCACTAATGACCAAAGAGCTCCTACAAACCAGGGAACAAAAGACTAACAGCCCAATAGAAAAATGGGCAAAAAACACAAACAAGCTATTCACACCAGAAGAAATGAAAGGCCCCTTCAAGCTCTGAAAAGATGCTCAAGCTCACTCTTAACAGAGAACCACAGCCCTGGTGGATAGCAAGGCTATGGGGAGCAAGGGCGGCGGGAAACCACACTTCGGGGGCAGGCAGGCCCGGCACCATCTACTCCGTTGGCTGATGCTCTACGGTGCCGTCTCTAAGAACTTGACCCAAAGATACACATGACGGATGCACGAGGATTTTCAGTGCAGCGTTATTTATGACAGTAAAAAGATTGGCAACAACCTACATGTCCATCAGCAGCCGACTGGTTCAATCCACGGTGGTGCAGCCCCATGTGGAACACCAGGCAGCCCGTGAGAGCAGCAGCAACCCAGCAGGGAGGAGGGGCTCCCACCCATCTCGCTGGGGAGGCAGTCCTCTCCAAGAGCCCCGACCTTGATTCTCGACTTCCCCAGTGGAGGTGGAAGAACAGGGAGCCCGAGGGGCAAGCGGTTCAAGCAGACAGAACAAAAAAAAAAAGGGCAGAGTCAGGCCTAGCTGGGGCTCTGTGTACCCTAAAAGAGGTGAACCAGCAGATGGGGGAGCTGAAGCGTAAGGCCCAGCGGCTAGCTCTCGGGGCTCAAAGAAGTGGCCGGTTCTTTGTCACTTAGCCCATCATTCAGGACTTGGCGGGCAGGAGAGGAAAGCACAGATGACACTGTCCCAGGCTGGTGATCAACAGGCAGCCCTACTCGATGCACTCCATGACGTGTATCTGCAGGGTGTCCATGTCAGGAGCCTGGTACTGGCACTTGGGGCAACAGAAGTCGGGTGGCTCCTCGGGGGGACTTCTCCTCTGGCTGGGCAGGGCCGAGTGAATGGAGTGGTGAGCTGGGGAAAGAGCGCAGATGCAGAAAGTCCTGAAACTGGAGCCAACTATCAGGCTCCCTGCCACTAGCTCCTCCACTTTAATCCCCCCTTACCGATGGGGAAGGCAGCCAATGCAAGCTCCCACCCCCACCGTGTGTGTGCGCTCCAAAGAGCAACTCTGGGGTTAGACGTGGCTCTCTCCGTCACAGAATCCTTCTCCCAGCACCCTGCCCTCCCCACTCTTCCTGCAGCTCACTCACCTGGGGTGGGGGGTAAGGGGGGCTGGGAGACCTCTACATGCCGCTTCCTCATATCTTCGATCCTTAGAGAAGAGAAACCGTCCAATAAATACGTGAAAGTCAAGGTCCAGGTGTACAAAGCTGATGGAAGGACAGGGGTGGGAGGAGGGGAGTGGGAGGGCCAGCTCACCCTAACCCAACAAGCCAGGAGCACTCAGTCTCCTGTGGTTACTACTGGAGACTCCCCACCAGTACCCAGCCCTGCTCCCCGTGGGGCCACGCTGAGGCCCACCTGGCTGACTCCTGACAGCTGGCCTTCAACCGGCTGTACTCCCTCTGCAGCTGCTCCAGCTGCTCCTGCAGACACTCCTTTTTCTCAGCCAGCTTCTCCCGGGCCTGCCTTTCCGCCTGGAAGTCCGCCTTGTAGATATCCGCCTGGCAAAGCCAAGAGAGGGGGACACACCCGCCGTCCATCAGCCATTCATCAGACATTCCATGCCAGGCACCAGGAAACAAGGCAGAGCCTGCTCCTACCCTCCCAGAACCCACGGCAGAGAGCGAGTCATCCCACTTGTGCTGAGAGGTCAAGGAACAGCATAAGGAACTCGAAGAGCTTCCAAGAAGCTACTGCAAAATGACACCAGAGTCACACCAGGTCCCAGCGCCAGTGGGCCCAGTCTGCTCACCCGTGTGCAGGCCTCAGAGAGCCCTCACCTGGGCCTTCAGCACCGGAACGGTCTCCATCACAATCTTATGCTGCTCGGCCTCTTCCTTGAGCTTGTCAATCGCTTCCTGTTTGGCCACCAGGGCCTCCTCGGCCTGCTGGAGCTGCTGCTTAAGATCTTCCAGCTGCATTCCCTGGAGACGGACAAGAGGGAGATGACAGACCCTGAGCCGGCCCGGAATGGGGGCCAGGCTGCCCCCAGGATAGCTGCCATTCCAGGTGAGAGCCAAGAACAACGAAAGATCAACCCCGGCTGTCCTGAACTAGGACAATGCTGACCACAAGCTGTCGGCGTGTGCAGAGTATTAGAAAGAGAGAGGTTGGAGGGGACCTCTGAAGTCATCTGGCACAGCCTCCCACACAGGCCGACATCCCCTTCCCAGAATCCCCAGCTAGACAGCCCTCCTCCAACCCTTCAGGGGATAGGGGCCAGACTCCCCACTGAGGCCACCCTCTCCACTCTGAGCCAGTCTCCCGCACTAACACTGTACCACATGCCCGCTAGGCTGAGACCCACTGGTCCTGCCACTCTGCCACCTGGTCAAAGGTCTGCTGGTCACACACACATACGTGCGCACGTGCACAGACATTACAAATACATGCACATACAGACACACACACAGACGCATACATACAGACACCCACACATGCCACCAAGTCTTCCCTCTGGAGATCAAAGGGCCACAGTTTTGTCATTAACTCTTCCCCATGTGACCCGGTTTCAGGCTTTACCCTTACAAGTCTCCTCTGGGTACTTTCATGTTTGACAACATCCTGCTTAAAATGTGATCGCTAGAAACTGCACCCAGTACAGGTCCGATAAGAACAAACTAAAAAAGGGCTCCCAGCTGCCTTCAACACTGTTGGAGATGGAAACGTTCCCGGGGCTTACCTTGGCTCAGAGAAACCTGAGCCAGGAGCCGAGCTGGCAACAGCTGGCGGGAGGGACTGGCCATGGAGCAAGCATATTCCCAGCCCACGGAGGGAACATCTAGAAGCCCAGCCCAGCCCACTGTAGGCAGCAAACAGTACGGCCCAAGCATCCCACCTCCCTGCGGCCTGCCCTGAGCCATCACACTGCAGCCTGGACAAAGCTCTAGACAAACAGAGCACCCCTCCCAAAAGCCAACTCTGTCAAGTCTTCAGGGAGGGCCTTGAGTCCCAACATCCCCAAATTTGGAGGAGTAAGGAGAGGAGCCAGGGTAAGGTCAGTCCTAGACAGGCTCAAGGACATCCCAGCCATACTCACTCGGTTCCGCTCACTGCTCACCATGCTGCTCTTGATGTGGTTGTCATACTCTTGGAAGAGCTGGTGATAGGCTACCTGTAGCTGGGCCAGCTTCCGCCTAAGAAAAAGGAGCTTTTGCTGGAGAAAACACCTTGTCCTGGTCCAGCCACAGCTTTTCCTGCTTCCAACTCCACCCTCTTCCTTCTTGTTCTGTCCACAGACAGGAGTGGAGCTGCCGGGATGCATCTGTGCCTTAAAGGCCTGTAGCTCTGAGGCAGACTTTGCTCACTAGTTACTATCATTTTCCTTAAAGCTAACATTTTTAAAAGTACAAAAAGAAATTTTTATAATAAAATGCAACTGTCTTGTACTCTTCAAAAACGTCAACTTCATGAAAAATATGCAAAGGCAGGATGACTGTTCTAGATTAAAGAAGACTCAAAAGGCACACCAATGGAAAGAATGCAGGATCCTGAACGAGATGCTGTTAACATATGGGACAAACAGTGGAATCTGAATGTGGACTGGAGAATGGATAATATTATTGTATCAAAGATGGATCATTTGGGTGTGTACTGGGTGCAGCATAAGGGGCAGCCAGTCCCGAGAAGGGCTACCCCGAAGGCAGAAAGCCACTGATGGCCCCCCCACTGGGCCCTGTCCCTCCCAGTGTTAGGAACCCACTCACTTCTCCTCCGAGGCAGCCTGGCGCTCCATGCGCAGGGCAGCCTCCATGCTCTGGGTCTGCATGCGCAGCTGGTCCACCTGCACGTTGTGCTGCTGCTGCAGCGCCTCCCGCTCACTCTCCAGCTGCCGGGCCTGCTCACTGGCCGCCCGGGCCCTGGCACAGGGGAAGGGGGCGGTCACAGCAGAGCCCCGGCAGGAGCAGAGGGTGACAGGCGCCACCCGCCGTGCTCACAGGATCCCTGCCGTGCTGAGAAGGGCTGGCAGCAGAAGGAAAGCGGAGCCCGAGAGCACTAGAAGCGCAGCAGTCCGCGGGAGAGGACAGCCACAGGGAGAGGGCATGGTCCAGAACGTCCTGTCAACGCACAGCCAAAGCACCATGAAAAGGGGGGCGCCACTCACTGTCCAGGTGGAGGTGCTGTCACCGGAGACAGGGACAACCGCAGGGCACCAGGTTGGGGGTGATGTCTTCACATCACCACAGGCACCCGGCAGGGAAACAAGTGCAGGTGGCAAGGAGACCCGCGGCTCAGGGTTCAGGTTGATGACATGCATTAGGGAAGCCCCTTCCAAGGTGAAGGAGGTGGTCTCAGAAGAGGACACTGCTGGGGCTAGGGTAGAGGAGCCCCCAGGAACCGTCTATGGGGTTCCAACAGGTGGATACCGGGGGCCCCGGTCAGAGCAGTCTCAGTGGAGGGGGTCAGGAGAGACTAGGAGGAAAGGAAGTGGAGGCAGCCAGCAAAGACAAGCCTTTCTAGAAGATCTGCGGCTGGGGGGGGGGGGGGGGGGGGGGGGGGGGGCCCAGTGTGCTCAGGCAACTCATTCCGTCCCAGTCACTGTTCTGGAAGTGGCAAGGAGGCAGCTGGCCCACCTCAATGGCTCAGGTGGAGTCCCAAATGCCCACACCTGAAAGCTGAGTCTGCTGCCTGCTTGCCTGGGTGACAGTGACAGCCTTGGCAGGGCATTCTTCCTTCCACACTCCCACCAGAATGGCTCATCTCTCCTCCCTTGATCTTCTGATCCAGGCCCATACCACCCCATGGCCCCCATCTCCCGTCTCCACACTCATATCTCCCCACAGTCCCCTAAATCTCCAGTTTCAGGCTACAGCCATGTCATCCTGCTGTCTCGAGACCCTCCATAGTCCCCACCATGGGGGGCAACAGTGGGTGTTTCTGGGTGGAGGAAGTTATTAGGGGGTTTCACTGGTCTCACTGTTTCTCTGCACTTGTCCAAATACATTGAACACATTTCCATCTGTGATGTGACAAAAGTTACGTGCTACCATCACCATCACCAGATGGAACTGCTGCCTGCCAGGGGCCCTGGAACAAGGGGAAGGCCATTCCGACGTGACAGGTCTAGGGCTCAGAGAGCAGCCATGTGTATGAAGTTTGAAGCTGTTTAAATGGCCACACTGAATGATCTGAGATGCAAGCAAGGCTTCGTGCCCCAAGCTGCCCAGTTCAGTATTTACACACTCGACCATGTGGGGGAAGGATGGGAAAGGAGGCTGCCCAAGAGCCTACAAGTGCCAGAGTAAACGCCGTTGCAGGGTCGTTAACTGACCAAAGTCGGCTGCAAAACTGCACTAACAGCGAAATGCCTCCAGCAGCTTCTTTTATGTGAACAGAAAAAAGACCGGCAAGAAAGACACCAAATTGTCCTGAAAATTACATATGCGATTTTAGAAACTTGGCAGTACAGAAGAGTACACGGTGGGAAGACACTGAATGCGACAAGCCGGAGCCAACCAGGCTCAGCGCTGCGATGCCTCTGCTCAAGGTCTGTTCTCTGGATGGAAGTGCATTCACGCCATCTCACGTATCGCTCCGATAAGGGGAGGGGGCGTCTAAAGCGTTATTCAGACTCGTTGGAAAACTCCTGCCTGCTCCTCTAGCCTTCTTCAGGAAGGTGTCCCTGACATCATCCAATGCACCCTGATCACCTACTGCACCGGGGGAGCTGGCGCCACCCCTTTCGATCGGACCCATTTTTCTGGAGGGCAGCCGCTGGGTGGCATGAGAACCACAGAAACATCCGTGCCCTTTGACCCAGTGAAGGCACTTCCAGGAATCTCCCCCCCCCCCCCCCACCCCAAGCCTCGCGACTGTGCAGAAAAGAACAACCAGGAGGTCTGACGAAGGGCCAGCTTGCAAGGTTGGCCCTCGGGTGGCGCCTGGGCAGTGGGCTGGTCCAAGTCCCCTACGCTGACATGACACTTTCCTTACTGCTAAGGGTGGTCCCTGCGCCTGGACTCCTGCACAACAGGATGGTTTATGGGGAGCACCTGCTTTCCTCTGGGAGTCGGGAAGTGTGGTGCATGCCCGGCAGGGGGCCCTGCGTGACCAGCCCCCAATCAAACCCGGGGCGCTGAGTCTCCAGTAGGTTCCCGGGGTCTCCAGTGTTGCAGTGTCGCTGCTGGAGAAGGGAGAGCACTCGGTGGGCCCCTCACAGGAGGAAGGGAAGGAGGGAGCCTAAGGCGTGGGGTTCTCTACCCCCGACCTGTGTCTTCTGTCCTCGCAGGTCCTGGCATGTGACCTTTCCCTGTAATAAACCTCAGGGGAGAGGGCACTGGGAGTACTTCCAGAGGTGACCGTGGATCACGGGGTGCTCATGGGACCCCCCCAAAATGCCCCCTAAGAGAATAATCCCAAATTCCAGCAAAAGGTCAGACAGCCCAGAAGCGCCGGGTCCCAGATGCCCAGCCCACAACTCCTGCAAGGCCCTGCTGCCCCAACACTCCCGTGTGCTCAGGCAGCACATCCCCCAGGCTGCCCTCTCTCAGAGGAACCCCTGGAGGACCCTAAACTGCCTCCCTCTTCTCGGGCATCCCGACAGTGGCCTCCAGGGTGGGCTTTCCCTCCCCACTCACCTGCCCTCCAGAGCCTGCCGCTCCTTAGTGGCGGCCTCCAAGCGACTCTGGCTCTCCTGGAGCTCCCCCAGCAAGGACGTCACCTGGGCTTTCACTGAGGCCTTATCCTCGGCCATCTGCTGCATGAAAAAAAGCCACTTCCTGTCAACGATGTTTTCTCACCAGCTGCCCACCTCTGGCGGCCCAAAGCCCCAGGGCAGCCTGCAAGTGCTGAGATGTGTCAGCCTTAGGGCTTCTATCCTGACCTCAGCATCCCCACTCATCTCACCTACAGAAGCCTCCTGATCCTAGCGAGGCAACTGAGGTGGTGGGAACAGATGGAGTCCCATGAGCCCACACTCCCAAGCCCCTCCTCCTCCCTGCAGATGGGACAACACAAGACCCAAGGACACAGGAGCACAGAGATGCCTTCAGTCTCATGAGGCTGACGACCAGGCCATGATGGCTGAACCCAAGAGGAATCTCCCGGCCTCTCTGAGACTTGGTGCTGAGGGAGGCAAGACTCAAAGACAGCAACAAAAATACATGCTCCATTCCACAGGCCCAGGGCCACTAGAGGTGAGCTGGACTGACAATGTTTCCTGAAGACCTCCACCAGTAACAAAATTCCAGAGTTGTCCAAACTCCCCGTCACCCAGTCCCCCTCATCAAATAGTCCGGAACCAGGTCCCCCGCAACCTCAAGCTGCTCAACCCAGGGTTGAATCTCAGTCCCCTGCACCCTCAACTCCTCCACAGTAACCCCTCCATTGTAACTGCCACTCCTGCCCTGGGTTCCTGCCTGCCACTCCCTCCCCCTCTCCTTTGCAACTGCTTGCTGTCCCAGGAATGTGACTCTTCTCCATCTACATGTACATGCATGAAGATCTGATCTGGTCTCAAGGCTTTCGATATCCCCTACAGGCTGCTATCTTCCAAATTCATACTTCTAGGACAGACTTCTCTCCCAAACCCCAACTTAGCTATTCAACTACCTGCCCAATATCTCCAAGTCTATGCCTGTCAGCAGACCCTGTCGGCTAGTGCCCACCTTGGTCAGAGTCCCATGCTAGGCGGTTGCCATGGGCTTCCACCAGGGCTCCCCACTCCACTCCTGCGCCTGTAGGAATGTCCTGGGGCTGCCATAAAGGACCACAAAGCAGGAGACTTAAGACAACAGAAATGTACTATCTCCCAGTTCTGGAGGCCAGAAGTCCAAGAGTAAGGTGTCAGCAGGGTTGGTCCTTCTGAGGTCTCTGGGAAAGAATCTGCTCCAGGCCACTGTCCTGGCTTCTGGAGGCTGCCAGCCATCCTTGGTGTTTCTTGGCTTGTAGACACATCAACCCAGTCTCTGCCTCCATCATCACATGGCCTTCTTCCCTGTGTGTCTGTTTTTCTTCTTATAAGGACACCAGTCATTGGATTTAGGCCCCGCCCCCCACTCCAGTACAACCTCATCTTTACTTGATGACGTTTGCAAAGACCCTATCTCCAAATCAGATCCCATTCACAGCTACTGGGGGTTAGGAAGTGGGTATTTCTTTTGGGGGGACACAATTCAACTCATAACTCCCCACCCACACTCTATACTCTACAGGAAGCCAAATAATGTCTCACACTAGCACAGCACCCTCCCACGGCTCCTGTCACACTCAGGATCAAAGCCAAATCCTTCCAGTGGCCTACTAAGCCCACAGGAGCAGCCCCCACGACCCCGCCTTCCTCGGCCCCATCCACTCAGCCCCAGCCATGTTTGCCTCTTTGGTGTTCCCTGAACACGACAGGCAGGCTCCTGCCTCAGGACCTCTGCATGTGCTTTCCCTGCCTCCAAAATGTGCTTGCCCCACATACCCACACGGCTTAGCCCTCATCAGCTTCTGGTCCGTACTCGACGCCCCCTCAGGGAGGCCTTCTCCCTTGAACCTTCCCTGTTGGATCAACAGCTCGCCTTGGCTATCTAGTGGTCCTCTCAAAGCCATCCTCCCTAACACTGCACATCTGACAGTCCCCCAAAGCCAGCTCCGCCCACAGCCTTCCTGATTGTCAGTTGATGGCAAATCCATCCTCCAGTTAGAACAAAAACCTTGGGCTCCTTTTTGACTCCCCCTCACCTCTCTCTCTTTCTCTCTCTTGATCTCACTCTCAGCTCACATCTAATCCATCAGGAAATCCTGTCAAAATGTATCCCAGAATCTATTTGATGACACTAAGCAATTAATGTTAACTATTTCAGGTGTGATAGTGGTATTGTAGCTATTTTTTTCCCAAGTCCTCTCTTAGAGATACATACTGAAATGTTGACAGATGAAATTATATGGCATCTGGGATTTGCTTCAAAATAATGGGGTCATACTGGAGGGGGGTGGGTCTGATCCAACAACTATTAAGAACTACGAAAGAAATTAGCACAGAACAATTTCAATTCAACTCCAACCAAATCCCTGAACTCAGAGACTTGACCAAACTTTAACACAGCTCCAAGCAGCCTGAGGTGGCAGCCCTGGGACGACCCAGCCCCCTTTTGAGTTCCTGTCTGAGAAAACAAGGCTGGCAAAAGAATTTACTGTTTGGGTAGCTCTTCCTACCCATGGGTCCTGTCCCCATGCCAGCAGCTCTTCCTGCCCATGGGTCCTGTCCCCATGCTACTCCATGCTACTCTCTGAATAAAAGAGCCCTACTGCCAGAAAAAAAAAAAAAAGAATTTACTGTTTGTTCCAGCCAACACCTGACATGGGGCCCCCACCTCCCTTCCTTAGAGCATTTACTAAAAAGGGATCCCACTGTGAATCCTTCCTCTGTCCCTTTGAGATGTCTCTGTACCTCCTACAACCCAGGAGAGTCTTTCTCAAGGACCCGAGAGCCATTCCTTTGAGATGGAACCCTCAGGAAGGATAGGGCCTCAGTTTCCCAGTCTCTGTGCAGGATGCAATCCTAACTTCCATAACTGCCAGCGGCAGACACAGCTGGCCTCATGTATTTACACTGACCACCCTTTGTGAGTTTTCTCTTGAGCCCCTCCTAGCTCCCTCTGTCCCTTTAAAAAGCCCGTCACCTCTGGGCAAATCAGTACAGAGCTCAGCTCTTTCCCCTGCTGTCGAGAGTTACTGAATAAACTCTGTTCTCACCACTTTAACTAATGTCCAACTGTGTTTCTCTTTGACACTGGCATCTTTCTAAGAGGAGACACACAGACACCTAAGGAGAAGGCAACATAACAATGGAGGCAGAGACTGGAGCGAGGCGTCTACAAGCCAAGGTACGCCAAGGACTGCAGCCACCACCCGAGTCTAGGAGAGAGGCCGCCGGGGCAGCTGCTCCCTCAGAGCCCTCAGAAGGAACCAACCCTGCCGACATCTTGCTCTTGGACTTCTGGCCTCCAGAACTGGGAGACAATATGCTTTTGTTACTTAAAGCCACCCAGTTTGGGACACCTTGTTATGGCAGCCCCAGGAACTTACTCTTCCCTGAGGGCCCTGCCAGGCAGTCTATGCTGACAGCATGATTTGTGGTGGGGCCTTGGGCTGCACACAGCAGCCTGACCTCCGGGCGCGGAGACTGAGTAACTGAGGTCAGGCCCTCGGGTGCTCTAGGCCTACAGGACCCAGCCCCAGTAAAGTCCCTGGACACCATGGCTCCAGGGGAGCTTCCGTGGTGGCAGTACTCTGTGCATGTTGTCACACGTCATTGCTGGGAGAAACTGTGCTGCCGCCCAACTCCACTGGCAGGGGACCTGGAAGCTCCTGCCTGGTCTCTCCCGGACCCGCCCTACGACCGCCCCTTTTCTCTTTGCTGGTTTCACCCTGTATCCTTTCACTGTAATTAACCAGAACAACCATAACCACGAGGACAATGGCTTTTCTGAGTTCTGAGAGTCCTCCTAGTGAAGCATCAGGCCTGAGGCTGCTCTTGGGGACCCCTGATCATGGGTTCCCTCTGGGAACACTGGTGTTCCTATGGGATTTCAGAACTCAGGAAGCTGGTGGCACAGGTGGCCAGAGCCCCCAGCTCACCTGCTCCTGGGAAAGGGCCTCCCTACCCCCCGGCTACCTGCTGGCATCTCTTCAGGTGTTCCACCTCCTTCAGGGCCTGTTCCCGCTGCCTCCTCAGGTCAAGCTTCTCCAGGCTCAGTCTCTCCACCAGTTTTCTGGCCTCCTGGAATTTCTGCATGAGGAACTCCTTCTCCTCCCTCTGGCTGCTCTGGAAATGCTGCAGCTCCTCACAGCGCTCCCGCAGCATCTGGTTGCTCTGCCGGATGGCATCTGGCAGCAGAGAAGACAGCAGAGGGGAGGTGAGCCCTGACAGCTGGCCCACCAGCCCCTCTGTGGGCCCATTGTGGCACCCTCCCCATAATACCATGTGGCCTCTTACACAGAGAGATGGCTTTGAAACACTTGGTTTTATTTCGTGAAACACTTTCAAAATCAATTATGCTAATAATACACCTCTAAAATTCTCCAATGAGATACTAAACACAACAGCTTCACTGTGCGCCAAATGCCACTTTCCTTGTAAGTGACTCTGGACTCATTTGTATTCTGGTCAGGTCAGAGGCTGCCTGCCCTGAGGCACTCAGTCTGCTGACTTCAGGATCAGGACTGCAGACTCAGAGCATAGCCACCAGCAAACTTCCCTGTGGCACTGCTGGCTGCAGCCCAGGAGGGCCAGAAGGGTGGAGTATGCCAGTGAGTCACCTCTAGGAGCCTCACCATCCTTATCTGCATGTTCGACAGAGACGATCCCACCCATCTCATAGGAGGAAGGTTAAACGAAAAAGCAGACAAAGGGCCCGATGCACAACATGAACTCAAGAAACAGCCAGTCCTCCCATCACCAGGCTGAAGGATGTGCGTGTGCAAATGCCAGGCAGTCAGCAGAGGCCAAGGAAAGGAGAGCCACATGCCCAGGGGACACCCCACACAGCAGAAGACTGTCGGGGGTGCCAAAACTAAACAGTGATGTGCAAAGGTTCTAGCAACTACAGAGCTGCAAAAGATGGGGGCAGGGAGTAGCTTCCCGTCACCCTCTGGTCAAAACCCTGACATAGCAAACAGGGCCTGCTGCCGCCCATTCTTTCACAAGAACCACAGTGGCTTCTGAACCCAGCTCCAAAGCCACCTAAGCCACTTTCTGCACTTGACTATCCCCGTGTGACTCCTCCCCTACAGGGGAGGGGGGCCGGGTGCAGGCCCTGGACAGGGCCCCTCCTGCCTCAGGGCACACTGTTCCCCCAGTGACCACCACCTGTCACAATCCTGCCCAGCCCGACACTCAGCTCACATGCAACTTCTTTTTCTATTGAGATAAAATTTGCGTAACACCAAATTCATCATTTTAACTATTTTAAAGTATACAGTCCCTCAGTAGTTTTAGTGTATTCACAAAGCTGTACACCCATCACCTCTATCTAGTTCCAGAATATTTCCATCACCCCCAAAAGAAACCCCACACGCAGTGGCAGTCACCCCCCCACTGCCCCCAGCCCCTGGTGTCCATTCACCTGTTTCTCTCTCTGGACTCGCCTCTCCTGGACACATCACATAAATGGACTCCTACACTAGATACCTGCGACTTCTTCCATGAAGTTGCCTCCCAAACATTCCAAGCAAAGTCTACCCTCCCTCTTACTCCCTCCTCCATAGACAGAGTCATGAGCGTTGTGGGGGGCAGACACACAATACCCGTTCCACAGAAATGTGCAGTCAGGTGGCACAGGTGGAGGCATGCAGCCTTGAGGTCTCCATCTGCCGCTGGAGCCCAAGCTCTGCGGAGGGGAGCCAGGGGTGCCAAGGCCCCTACACGGCTGGCCTGCCACTCTCTTGCCCCTGAGTCCCCCTTGCGAGAGCACTCTCCTGGGGACAAGCAGAGGCCACACACACAGGTGTGGAGGGTAAGCTGTCTCCCCACCCCCTAACCTGGCTGTCAGTTCCATGTGGCCCCAACACAGCAAGACATTTGACAGCATCTGGGGACATTCTTGGTTGTCACAACTGGAGGGGTGCTATTGGCATCCAGTGAAAAGAGGTCAAGGATGCTGCTGAACACCCTGCAGGACCCAGGGCAGCCCCTAGAAGTCTGAGCACTGAGGGGAAGGGCCTGCCCTAAAGGCAGGTGGGTCTTGTGGGCTCTCTGTGCTCAAAGCAGGGTCAGCCCCCCCAGGAAACCAAGCGGCCTCTTGGTGGCAAGGTGACTGCACTGGACCCCTTCCATCCTGGAAAGGAAGGCAATTCGTCTTGACAGGAAGAAGAGACACATATTCCAGGCATGGGTTTGGTCCCTGCCTGCAGAGCCTCAGCCAGCACCACGCTCTGAGGCCAACAGAGCACAGGACTCATCAGCACAGGGCCCCATGTAACACCCACCACACCAGGGGATGCATTGTCCAGCAAAGGAGGTGGGGGAGTTGCTCCATGACTGTGACCTCCACTGGTTGTGTCACATGCCAAGCCACTGGCCTGCTAGGACAGGGTACAGTTGACTGAAAACAACTGAGGCACTAGCTTGGGGGTGAGTCCTCCGGGATACAGCATACTCGGAGGCTGTGACCTTTGTAAGCCCTGACTTCCTAACAGGAACCCTACTACTCCCCAAGACCCACATGGGAAGTCTGTGCCGGCTCTCCCTGCAGTTCTGGACTCGGCAGTCTAGAAGGTCCCCACAGCAGAAATGCAAGAGTCTCAGTGAATTAGAAGCTGGGGGTACCACCTGGGCACCTGGGGCTCCTTGTACCAAAGGAGCAGCAGGCCAGAGGAGGAGCCCTGGGGGCACAATCACAAGGGGGTGCAGGGGCGCTGTCCCAGGCTGGGCGGGCAGGAATGTGCCGCACCCAAGGGCAGCCACGGGCGCGGTGCAACAGCCACTGGGACTTAGAGGAGCTGCCCTGGATCCAGGTGAGGACGTGCAGGGTGAGTGAGCGGCGGCTGTGACGGAGACAGGGATGGGATGGCCAGGAAAGTACTCGACCCCCAGCCCCTTGGAGGGAGGGGGCTGCTGGAGGATGGCCTTCAGCTGGGGTCTCTTCAGAGAGCCGCCTGGCCCAGGATCAGCCCCCACTCAGGGTGACCTGGACCTCCCCCTTTCCCAAAACACTCACAGGCCCTTCTCGGGGAAGGCCACGCCCCCTGCCAGAATGGAGAGGGCTTAATGACTGATCGTGCAGAGGCTTGAAGGCCTGGCCATGTTGGCCCAGCTTGTGACAACTCGGAAGGGTCATTCCAGCTCCAGAGCTCCCTGCAGGTCAGCCTGCACTGCAGCCCAACTTCTCCCTCTCCCCACCCCTTCTTCTTCCCTGTGCTTCCCTTCCCTTCCCCAATGTCGGTCCTGAGCACTCTAAATAAACATTCTGCATGCTAATCTGTATCTCAGGGTCCACTTCCAGGGACCCCCCCCCACACCAGAAACAAAGAGGGAGGGTGGCCGAGCTTGAATGGCTAGCTGGCTCTCAGGCACGTGCCCACCCTAGACTGAGGAAACACAGAGGCACAAGTGAGTGGAATAAGTCTTCCCTCTAGCAGGGCTGGGTCTCCTGACTTTTAGTTCTACACACCCACTATCCTCCTCACCTCGGAGCTCTTGATTCTCCTCCAGACAACGCTGGAAGGTCTCAGGAGTTCCCTGCTCCGAAGGCAGGTGGAGCATGGCCGGCTTCCCCAGAGAAGACTCTTCACCCAGCACGTCCTGGTCCCCTGCCGGGCCGCCACTAGGCTGTACCATCTCACACAGCTGACTCTTCCAGGGGGGCCTGCTCATCCAACAAGTCAGGGTCTGGAAGAGAAAGGCAGCAGGGGTGTCACACAAGACCAGTGTGGAATTCCCTTACCCTGCAGGACAAGGAGTGTAGACTATGCAGGAGTTCTGGGGCCACACTTGAAGCAGAACGCCAAGTGTTCTGCCTAGCGTAACAGGATGCTAAAACAGGCTTTTTGGTCTCAGAGGTAGCACATGCTCCCACTCCAAAGGGAGGTGCAGGCCCATATGTGGGACTTGGAAAGGCCATGGTTTAGCACTGGTTATAAACTCTGCCTAGCACCTATCTCTGGGCTGTAAGCTGAAGTTAAAAATTTCACCAGAGGGGAGAAATTAGGGAGTGGATTATTTGTGGAGAGAGGTGTCAGCATGCTGGGACTCCTACCCTCTACACACCTCCAAGCAAGAGTGGTGAAGCAGGGCTGGCCCCGTGGCCGAGTGGTTAAGTTTGCGCACTCCGCTGCAGGCGGCCCAGTGTTTCGTTGGTTCGAATCCTGGGCGCGGACATGGCACTGCTCAGCAAACCACGCTGAGGCAGCGTCCCACGTGCCACAACTAGAAGGACCCACAACGAAGAATATACAACTATGTACCAGGGGGCTTTGGGGAGAAAAAGGAAAAAAATAAAATATTAAAAAGAAAAGGAGTGGTGAAGCTTGTTGACCCTTCACCTGGTGGAATGTTGAATTGTGGCCCCCAACAAGATATGTCTACTTCCTGACCTCCAGAACCTGTGAATGTGACCTTATTTGGAAAAAGGGTCTTTGAAGATATAATTAAATGAGGATCTTGAGATGAGATCATCCTGGAGTAGGGTGGGCCCTAAATCCAACGACAAGTGTCCTTATAAGAGACAGAAGAGGAGACACAGATGCGGAGGAGAAGGCCATGTGGAGACAGAGGCAGGGACCGGAGTGAGGTGGCCACAAGCCAAGGAACACCTGGGGACCCCAGAAGCTGGAAGAGGCAGGAAGAGTCCTCCCCTAGAGCCTGCAGAGGGAGCACCGCTCTGCCAACCCGTGGTTTCGGACTTTTGGTCCCAGCACTGCGAAAGGAGAAATCTCTATTGTTTTAAGCCCCCAGTTTGTGGTCATCTCTTACAGCAGCCCTAGGAAATTAACCTATCTAGTAAGAGGGGCTTCGAGGAGACCACTCAGAATCTGATGAGTGTTCCCTGGAACTAGGGGGCCGAAGGGGACATCTAGTATCTGACGTGTGCTAAGTAATCTGAAAGTGAGAGCTGGGCTTGCAGTCCAAGACAGAGGGGCAGAAAGACAGGCTGAGCTGTATGCATTCTCTTGTGAACTAGAGTAAGAGGCAAGCCATGTGGGACAGCACCAGCCTGGAGCCCTTTTAAATCCTGCCCAAGACGACTAACCTCCCAGAGGAAGAGGCCAATCCCAATACAAGTTTCCAGGAGCAGGCCTGAGCTGAGGAAGAGAGACTTTAACACTGAATAAACTTGGACGTTTGACTATGACACTGATATTGCTCCACTGAACACCCTACTAACTCATCAGCAGTATTTGATCAACCGCTGATCCCTCCCTCAGCTTCCAGAACAGCCCACTCTCGTAGTTTTCCTCCTACCTCACTGGCTGCTCCTGCTCAGGCTCTTTCACTTGATCCTCCTCATCCACACACCCCTTCACGCTGTAGTGCTCCAGGGCTCTGCTCTGGGATCTCTTCTCTTCTCTAACTACAGTCACTCCAGTACTAATTCCTTCCATCCTCACGGCTTTAACCCCCATTCTAACGCTGATAATGCCCTAAAATTAGACCTGTTTCCTGAACTCCAGACTCACATATCAGACTCAACATCTCCACTTGGATATCCAGTGGTCCTCTCAAAACTAATCTAACACTGCACTCCTGACAGTCCCCCAAAGCCAGTTCTACCCACAGCCTTCCTGTCAGTTCATGGCAAATCCATCCTCCAGTTATCAGGACAAAAACCTTGGAGTCCTGCTTGACTCCTCTCCCTCTCTCTCTCTCTCAGCTCACATCTAATCCATCAGGAAATCCTGTCAAAATGTATCCCAGAATCTATTTGATGACACTAAGCAATTAATGTTAACTATCTCAGGTGTAATAGTGGTACTGTGGCTACGTTTTTTAAAATCTTTTCTTAGAGATGCATACTGACAAATGGTGTCTGAAATTCACTTCAAAATAACAGGGGAACTCCTAGGTATCTACTCGAGAGAAACGAAAACACTTGTCTACACACGAATGCTCAGAGCAGCATTACTCATAACAGCCAAAGAGTGGAAACAACCCAAATGTCCATCAACTGATGAATAAACAAAATCTCCTACATTCACATACTACAACATGGACAACTCTTGCAAACATTATGCTAAGAGAAGAACAACTCACAAAAGCCCACGCAGCGTATGATTCCATTTATATGAAACGTCCAGAACAGACAAATCTATAGAGACAGAAAAATTAGCGGATGCCTAGAGCTGAGAGAGATGGGGTGATGTGGGTGACAGCTAAAGGGTACGGGGTTTCTTTTTGGAGTGATGAAAATGTTCTGGAATTAGTAGTGATGATTGCACAACTCGGTGAATACACTAAAAACCAGTGAACTGTACATTTTAAATGAGTGAATTGTGTGCTATGTGAATTATATCTCAATAAAGCTAGTATTGAAAATAATAATGGGAAACGATTGTGAGCGGTATAAATTAAACAAAATCAACCACGAGTTGATAATTGAAGCTAGGAAGTGGTTCCATGGGAGTTACTATACTATTCTTTCTACTTTCGTACATCTTTGTAAATTTTCATAACAAAATACTCAAGCATCATCATCTCTCACCTAGATTACTGCAATAACCTCCTAACAGGTCACCCTACTCCTACCCTTGTCCACTACAGTCTGTTCTCCCCACCAAGGCCAGAACAATCAGCCTAAAAGGTAATTACGATCACGTCCCTCCTCTACTCAGATCACTAACATGGTTCCTCATTGCCCTCCATGTAAAAGCCGAAGTCCCTTCGACAGCCTACAAGACCCTGCACCATCTCGTCCCCCATTGCTTCCTCTCCAAGTATTCTCCCCTCCCTCACTCTGCTCCAGCTTTTCCTCCAACATGCCAGGATGGCCCATTCATCCTCAAGTCACAGAAACCGTACGAGGTTGAGTAGACATTGATCGTTTTGCAAAGTGAGTAAACTGAGGCACGTGAGGTAAGATACTTAACTGCCAAACTATATTTAAGGCCTTTTTAAAGATTTTCACAACCTCAAATGCAGTCAAGTTCGATGAACAGAAAACGTCTCCGAACTAGAAGAGTCATCCACAAAATAGGGGTGTGATCAGACTCCGCAGCGGCGAAGGAGGGAGAGACGGAAACAGTCTTGCTCGCCGCCAAAGTAACCTGGGTCCTACATCTGCCCGCCTTGGCTGGTGCTGCAAAAGCGGGCAGCAGGAATGGGCGGGGGCCCAAAAGGAGGGGGAAACCTGGACATCCGGGGGAGTCTCGGAGGCGGCGGAACGCCCACCGTTGGTACCCTACTTTCGGGGAAGAGGACCACACCTGTCAGCAGAATCGGTCCGAGGTGAGAAGGGCGGGAGAGACAGGCCGCGAGCGCTCCTCGGGCCCCAGCACTCCGAGAAAGTCCCGACTCCGCGGTCGCCCTTCCCTTCTCCCGCGGCCGAAATTCCCACTTCCGGCTTCCGGTGTCGTACTGTGGGATCCGGAAGTAAAACAAGCAAGCCCCGCCCCCGCCCAGGAAGCCCGCGGGAGGTGCGGGGGGGCTGCTCCAGAGGGAAGCCGAGGCCGCCAGTCTCGCTCGGCCCGCAGGACGCTCCCCAGTGATATCCACCATCTGCTACTTTTTGGGGCGTCGCGACCCACCCTTTCCCTTGTCCCGCGGGCGACAGTATCCAGTCTCCACGCGCTGGGCTGCCCCCGCCCCGCCAGGGGAGGAGCCACGACGAGGCCGCCCAACAGAACTGGTCTGACCCGAGCTGGCGACCGTCCGGCAAGGGGAAAGGGTTCAGATGGCCCCGCCCATAGACTGGGTCGAGGAGGCGTGGCCACGCTGCCAGCGGAAGTGGAGCCTTCCGCGAGGGTGTAGGGCCGCCTGCGACGAGCGACAAAGCCAGACTGTAGGGGCGGGGCTGAGCCGGTGATGGGGACGCGGACGAACGGCGCGGAGCTGCATGCGGACCCGCGAGGCATCTGGGACGCGGCGCAGCGGCGGCAAGGACAGCAGGCGGCCCGCGGCCGGGCGGCCGGGGCAGGTGCCCAAGAGGCGGGGCGAACCAAGGGCGGGCGGCCTCGCGCGGGGGGGGGGGGCGGGGGCGGGGCGGGGAGCGGGGGGGGGGGGGGGTGCTTACCCGGGATGCGCGCGCACCTGCCTGCGCCCTCACCCCGCCCCGGGAGGGAGGGACTTGCGGGGACCCCGCCCGCGGGCCTCGCCTGAGGCGGGTCGGCTCAGACCAGGCGCCCGCCCCCGCCGGTTAAATGGGCCGGCGGGGAGCAGCCCCCGGAAACGGCCGAAACTCCGGGGCTGCGAGTTCGACGAGCGGCGGCGGAAGGCGCAGGTAACAGAGTGGGCGGGCGCCGCGCCCGCGGAGGGGTGTGCTGCGCCTTAGCCGTTTTGGTTTGGCGTGCTTGGGAGCGGGGCAAAACCGAGAGGGCCTTAACCGATCCCACTGCCCTCTGCATCCCCGCCATTGGACCCCCGAGGAGACTGAGACCCCGAGAGGACTTGCCAGGGTCTCTCAGCCTGGCAAGAGGGCTGGAGCTGCACTCCATCGTCTGCATGGGCTAACATGCTCCAGCTCATTGTGGAGTTTCCGCCGGAGTCTGGGGTGAGATGGTCCTAGGCAGATCGTGCAATGCTGCAGCAGGGTTTTGCTCAGTCCCCCAGAATTGAGGTTCTAGCTGGAATCCACTAGGGCTTTGAGCAATTTTGTAATGTACACCGTGAAAGAAGGCTGCCTGGTGAGTATGGCTGGAGCCCAGAGCTGGCAGTTTCTTTCTCCCCCACCACCCTGCTCCCTGGCCATTCACAGCTAATGGTTTCAATAATCAGGCGTCAGCTGGGTGAGAGCTCAAAGGACCCCTCGAGAAAGGCGTCAACTTCTCAACGCTCTTCTGTTCTCATGCCATGTCAATGAGCCTTTCTTCCACCAGAGAGCATCATGGCAGAACAGGTGGCCCTGAGCCGGACCCAGGTGTGTGGGATCCTGCGGGAAGAGCTATACCAGGGCAATGCCTTCCATCAGTCCGATACACACATCTTCATCATCATGGGTGCATCGGTAAGTCTCCCCCAAGCCCCGCATCTTAAAAGCCAGACTTAGAGTGTGACATTGCTTAAGGTCCCTTCCTGCTCACTGCCTGGGCTTTCCCAACTGACTGTTGTGGGGCCACGTGGGCTCTGCTCAGTTGGGCTCTCCTTCTTGCTCCTGCCTGTGTGCCACTATCATCCCAGCACCACGTGATGTATACACACGATGAGGTATTTCTGAAATCCGTGTGCAGCCGTTGATTGTACACATTAACAGGACAGCCACTGACTGTCCTGGAGCCGGGATGTCCTTCTCCAAGGGGAACACTGAGATAGAAACAGGGGAGCCTAGTCATTCTGTGAGTATCTTTCTCAAACCTCTTTGTGACTTGACAAATGTCACATAGTCAATTAGTTCCAAAGGCAGGATCTGAGGCCCCATCTCCACCTTGTCTCTCTAGCATGTCAGATTCCCTGGGGACAAACACTTGACCCGTCTTTGAACATAGTCTCTTTGCCGCATTTTGCTCTGATAGAGTAGAAGCACATTGACAGTTTGTGATGGAGGACGGGCGTGCGAGAGGGAGGGTGGGTCCTAGTCAAGTCATGACCCTCAGACTAAAGCGCCTCCCGGTGTATCATGTGGAAACAAGATCTGCCGGGTGGCCAGACATGTGTAGTGGCTGCCAAGATGAGCTGCCAGGGTTTCATCTCGAAGTAATAGTGGTCTTTTCTTCTCACTTTTAACCCTGGACGTGACCAAGAATCTACTAAGCATTGTATGATCATCTTTGCCAGTAACTTACTGTATAATCTTGAGCAAGAGTTCTCCCAAAATTAGAGAGCTCTTGACAGACCAGCCCTGGTCTCTCTGCACCTCCCACAGCACAGTTCCCCTGGCTCTGGAGAAACTCAGGTCTTCGTTCGTATGTCATGACATGCCACCGTCCTTTGCAGAGCCTCCTCCCTGCCACCTTAGGGATTCTGATCAGAACTTGGAAAAGGAGAGCCAGAGTGCAGAGCAGGAGACAGTACAGGGGAGAAGGGCTCTGCCAGAAGGAGGAAAGGGAGGGCTGCCCCAGGCACTGTTCTGTAACTCCCTGTACCCAGGAGGAGCACACAGCGGGGCAGGCTTGGCCTCCACCCTGGCCTCAGCCTCCTCCCCTTGGAGGATTCCTACCTGTGTTGGCCACAGATCTTAACACCTAGGACTCTGACCATTAGGCTCTTTGTCCAAGAAATAGGTAGGTAGAGAAAGTAACTCAGGATTATTTTTCCTCCTCCCATCTCCATGCCAGCCTGTCACAGGATGCTCCTACAGAGGAGCAAGAAATGGCTTGTGACTCCAGGCCCCCAACTCTTAGGTGCCGCGTTGAGCGCATCCAAGCTTGCTGTGTGACCTGGGACAAATGTCTTCCCTTCTCTGAACCTCAACGTTTCCACGGAGTAAACGAGGGCTTTTGAAACAAGTGCCAAAGGTCCTCAGGCTCTACCAAGCTGATTCTATGACTCCTCACTGCCTTTGCCTGTGGCCAGCTTGGCGTTGGGCAACTTTGTGTCTTTGCAATCAGCAGGGTTCCCCTTTGCTCTCCTTTGCTCTGGGAGTGACACCCAGAGGCTTCCAGAGCAGAAGTGGGAAGTGCTGCTCCAGCAGGGCGGAGTGGGGGAGAGCAAGGGTCCTCTGGAAGAAGAGCCTCCTTATTTGTTTCTCCCTTCTAGTCAAGGGGACTCGAGGTGGTGGCCTCCCATGCTCAGGACGCACCTAGCATAGCTCCCACAGTCTGGGGCCTCGCCACCTCCTCTGTCTGGGTAGGAGGTAGGCAGAGGGCGGTGCTGGGGGTGCACTCTCCCAGAGCCCGCTGCGCTGGGAAACCAATGAGTTCTCCGAACATTCATCTAACAAATGCTGATGAAGCACTTCCTCTACAGCCTGTGTGCTGGGGGGCCGGGACCCAAGATGAGTGCACCCAAGAAGAGTTCAGAGTGGTGCATGTGACAGAAGACACAGACGGGCTTCTGTGTCCCCAACCCCCCCCCGGCACACAGGTCTCATGAGGAGGGCCTGCAGAGCCAGGGCCCAGGGAATGCTCCACACAAAGGGAAGAGCAGACATAGAGCCCCCAGTGGGGCAGGCTGGGCCCACGTGGCCATCCTCTGCCCCTTCCTCCTCCCTTGCCACTTACCCAACCCTCACCCACATGCCCAGCTTCCTTCCTAGGGGCCTCCTGCTGCCAGCTCACAGAGTTACCCAAAGGGCTTTGAGCTGCTCTCTGTTCTCTCTGCTATGTGGCCACTTCCCCCCTCCTCAGGACTCCCACCCACAGCCGGGAAGGGAGTGGAGGTACTTACTGTCCTAGTCCAGAAAGCTCTAGAATGAGAGAAACTGGTTTCTCCTTATAGATCAGCGTGGGGGAGGAACCTTGGGCCTGGCAGATCATGTCCTCCCCCATCTGGTAGGACTCGGCCAGTGGGCTCAGCTACTCTTCCCCCCTCAGAGGATGGAGAGAGGAATAGGAGTGAGAGAGAAAGACCAGGACTGGGAGTCCACTGGGCAGGATTGATTCCCTGCAGGGTCCTCAGCGAGCCCCTCACCTCTCTGGGCTTCAGTCTCCCCACCTGGGCCACAAGGGCCGTGGGCTTGATAGGTGCTCAGGTCCCATCCTGATGACAGGCCGGTGAAGGGCTGACCTGGCAGCCCCAGGCCCTCCCTCTCCTCCGAAAGTCTCTGGGCTGCCTTCCCCCTCAGGCAGATAAGATTCTTGCTGTGTCATGATGACATTGGCACTCCCCCAAAGGCCTGGTGATTCGTAAGCTCCAGGGTGTAGGAGGGAGGCCCTCTTGTTGGTTGTGCAGCCAAGCCTACCTCAACAGCCCCCAGATTCTCTCACTCCCGTGGCCGGGAGCCAGCTGGGTCCTAGCCAGGGCCCGGGCTCCATCCTGAGAGGCTGGGTGGATCCTTGACTTCAGTGACCCTTGGGGGACCAGGGTGGCCCACCCCTGCTGGGCCTCCAGTTGGCGGCCAGCCTCTCGAGCTCTCTTCTGCACCCTCCACCTTAAAACTCTCAACAGATGTCGGCAGTCATTTGGGCTTGTAAAACTGGAGACTGACGTCAAACCTGGGCAGCAACAGGCAGGTGGTGGCCCAGGTCCCTTTGCCCCAGCTGGGCTAGATACTGGTGGCTGGAGATCTTAATCAGATCCTGCTTCTTTTGCTAAGTCACCACATGTCCCTGGGCAACTCCTTCCCCTGCTGGTCCTCTGGCAAAATGTGGGAGTCGGGAAAGACAAGAGACTTCCAACTGCGTCTCACCAAGAGCCTCTGTCATCACCCCCACCCTACATATGGTGTGCTTAGATTTGGTCGATGTCTTCCCACATCCCTTTCCAAGGAGTTCAGCCCAGGCTGGTGGGGAGGGCAGGCTGCCCCCAGCTCCAGGAAAGCAACTCACCCCACTTCCCCATGGGAGGGAGCAGCCGCCGGGCCTCCCACCCCTCATGGTCCTGGGTCCTACCTCGTCTCTCCCTCGGGTGACTTGGAGCCCAGCAGACCGCCGATAGCAGGGGCTGAGTTGAACGAGGCGAGCCGGTTCTATCACTAGTTAATCTGCAAGAACAAACAGCCTGGGCTGTGGGGCCCTGTGACTTGGCAGACAGGAGACTAGTCCTCTGCCACCAATCCATGGCCCTCAGTCTGTCCTGACCCTTGCAGCCTGCTGGAATTTGATCATAAGCAAACATTACCAGCCATAGGGAAGGCTGGGAGGTGTTTGCAGGCTGTAGTTCTGATTGTTTCTCCTGGAGGCTGGTCCCCAGCAAGCTGGTCCTCTCTGGAGCATGCAGGGCCAGCACTGAGCCAAGGTGACACGAGCAGAGCCCCCCTCCAGCCCCACTGATGGCAGAAGCCAGAGGTGGGCACTGACAGTTCACTATGAGGATGGCTTCCGTGGGGCTACTGAGTGCTGAGGGACCTGGAGGGGAGCTCGCAGCCCAGGCTAGGGGTCCTGGACCCGAAGGACCAGTGAGGGCAGCCATCTGATGTGGCCATTGCAGTGGTTTACGCGGAAGGTGGCAGTTACATAGGGAGCTGCTCTAGAGCGCCTGAGAGAACAGTTGTGAGCGGTTGGCAGACATGGACAGGGGCACCAACATAGGGAACCGGGGTTTGGGAACCATGCACTTTGGGAACCATGCACTTTGGGAGTTTGGGGTCCCAGTGGAGCCTGGACATGACGAGTAGACACTTACGTCTGTGGGCTTGGCGCCCTGTGAAGTCTGGGCTGGAACAGATGCTCAGAGGTGTCTGAATCCAGGTCCCTGCCTGAAGCCACGGGTGGAGGTCGGGTCACCCAGTGAGACTGGAGGTGAAGCAGAGAACGGGGAAAAACACAAATATGCAAAGTGCCAGGCATCCCAGAGCTCCCATGGAGCCTGCAGTCTCTGAGATGCCTACCCCCACCCAGAGTAGGGGTTTCCACCCAGCAGCCCCCCAAGTGCCTTCCTAACTGCCTGTTTCCAGGGTGACCGGTCAGGTGGCTTCTGTTTTACAACCGCTGATAGAAATAAACTTACCCAATGGTTACATTGCTTCTAAAGGTAGTTCTGCTTTGCACATTCAGGTCCTATCCCCAGACTTGGTTTCTCTGCCTAGGGCAAGCCCGGATCCGGCCCAGCCTGGGATAGTCGCTCCCCTCTGATTGGCAACGCTGGGTGGCGCGCCCTCCGCTCTAATTATAGGGCGGGCAGATGAAAGGCACCCTGCTCTAGACTGCTGTTGCTTGTCCCTTCCTCTTCCACCTGGAGTGGAGAATTCCTTTGTCAGGATGTGATGCGCGGGCGCTGTCAGCTCAGGGTCGGGGTGAAGGGCTGGCGCAGGCTCTAATTCAAGCTCCTCTGGCTACATACAGGGGCAAGACATGTATGCTTGTGGCTGAGTGGTGACCCTGAGCAAGTGCCCAGGTCTCCAGGGGGGGTCCAGTCTAGATTGTGTCCCCAGCTTCTCCTAACCCCGCCTGTTCATTCTGCCACAGGGCGACCTGGCCAAGAAGAAGATCTACCCCACCATCTGGTAAGCACTTCCCCCCACTTCCCACTTCCCCACTAGCCCTCGGCTTCCCTACCCTGGCCAGAGCCATGCTCTGCTCTCAGGTGGCTGTTCCGGGATGGCCTTCTGCCCGAAGACACCTTCATCGTGGGCTACGCCCGCTCCCGTCTCACAGTGGCTGACATCCGCAAGCAGAGCGAGCCCTTCTTCAAAGTGAGTGGCTTCCAGGGTCTCTGCAGGGGACATCACCCCATCCCATCCCAGCTTGCCCTTCCCTTCTCCCTCTCTGCACCGCCTGGCCGTTCTCACCTGCCACGACTGCCGCCTGGGGCTGCTCGCATCCCAGCGTTTCTCATCCTTGCTCTCCCCAAAGCCACCCACACTGCCCTGCCAAACTGGCATGGAAAACTCTGCTCCTCCTGCTCCTGCCAATTCCTTGATGAGTGGGGGAGCATGAGACCTCTGTTTCCCAGCACCACCCCCCGCCCCGACCTAGACTCACCGGTTCCTCCCCACTCTACCCCGGGGCCAGGAACTGAAAAGGCCTCTCCACCCCAGAAATCCTCCAGAGCTGCGTCTCCTCAGCACACCGGAGTTTGGTGTCGTGACTTTAGGGAGAGAGCTTCTCCAGGGTGGTTCTCTCAGGTCAAGGTTTCCTGAAATCTGACTTCTGTCTTAGGGCATGAGGTCCCAGGGGTGACCATGCCAATCATGGGCCTGACCTGGGACTGCTGGGTCCCCTTTCCCCAAGTGCTCGTGCTGTCTGAGTCTCGCCCCAAGGGTGTGCAAAGCTGATGAGATGGGGGTGAACCTAGTGTGGGGCTAGGACAGCTGACTCCCAAGGGAGCCTGCCCAGGCCGTGGGATGAGAGAGGGAAGGTGGCCAGGGCCTGACGTCCCTGTGTCTGTCTTTCGCAGGCCACCCCAGAGGAGAAGCCCAAGCTGGAGGAGTTCTTTGCCCGCAATTCCTATGTGGCTGGCCAGTATGACGACTCAGCCTCCTACAAACGTCTCAACAGCCATATGAACGCCCTTCACCAGGGGTCGCAGGCCAACCGCCTCTTCTACCTGGCCTTGCCCCCCAGCGTCTATGAGGCCGTCACCAAGAACATCCATGAGACCTGCATGAGCCAGACGTAAGGCTTGCCTTTCATCCTCCCTTCCTGCCTCCTAGATGTGCCCGGCCCTGGGCTGGCCTGCCCTGCCGGCTGTCCAGAGCTCCTGGGGCAAATTGGCTGAGGGAGTCTGAAAAAGAGGGCTCTCCTCTGCTTGTTCTCTATTTGAATTAGCTCTCCAAAGAAGGGGCTAGGCTATAAACACAGTAGCTTTCTACCAGCCTGTACTGAAAACACTTTCATGCATATCGATGGTCCACATCCTTGTGCAGACCCACGTGGTCCATCTCACCAGAAATCCAGCTGTTCCTGCCAACGGTCCCCACCAGACCACAAGGTGGCAGTGTTGCTCCATGAAACTTTCCCTGCCGGTTGCTTAGTCTTTGGCTTTTCAATGTTTCCCAAGGTCCCCTCCACGACCACGATGTGGCAGTGTTGCTCCACCAGAATCCTGCTGCCCGTGGTACAGTTTGGCACTGTTTCCCCAAAGCCACAGCCATCTGGTTTCACTTTATTCTGGTTTTGAATGCAGAAAGCCGCGTTAGCTCTCCAGGGGGGATAGCAAAGAAAGAGACCTTTTTCTCATTTTTAAACCCACAGAGGTAGCTGTGCCCTTGATTTCCCCTCCCTCTGCTCCCCCACTAGCTCCTGGGCCACTCCTGACCCACTGGGTCCCCAGCCTAGGGCAGGACGGGGGCAGGGCCACTGGAGCCTGCCGTCAGGTCTCCTGGCAGTGGGTCAGGCAGGAAGTTTTCTAGGGAAGTTTGGAGCGCGCCACTGAGGGCTGGGGAGGACAGGTGTCCTCGGATATGGGGGGCTCTGTGCCCAGGCAGAGGGAAGGGCCAGCCGAGCTTTGGTGGGTCACTTCAGAATATAAGAGGGGGAGGAGAGCTCTGCCCCGCTCCCTGAGGAGAGGGCATGGGAAGTGACAGATTTCTGGCTCCTGCTCCCCAAGGAGGGTGTGGGGATGACACAGCTCTGGGCTCCCACAGAGGCTGGAACCGCATCATTGTGGAGAAGCCCTTCGGACGGGACCTGCAGAGCTCTGACCAGCTGTCCAACCACATCTCCTCCCTGTTCCGCGAAGACCAGATCTACCGCATTGACCACTACCTGGGCAAGGAGATGGTCCAGAATCTCATGGTGCTGAGGTGCGGACCGGGCGATGGCATGGAGGGGGACCAAGTCAAGGGCAGGCACTAGGGGGCCCAGCCTGCTCTGCTGCTGCCCCCCTGGAAGCAGCACCAGCCCCTACCCTGCCCCTCCCACAGGTTTGCAAACAGGATCTTCGGCCCGATCTGGAACCGGGACAACATCGCCTGTGTCATCCTCACTTTCAAGGAGCCCTTTGGCACTGAGGGCCGCGGGGGCTACTTCGATGAATTTGGGATCATCCGGTGAGAGCCCATCTCCCCTTCCTGGGAGGCCAGCACAGATGCGGAACATAATCCTGCCACCCTGTAGGGTCACCCCTCCCTGTTCTGGGGGGCTCCTCCTCCCACTCAGCATTCAAATTCTATAGCAGGAGTATCTGAGCCATCAGTCGTGGCTGTGAAGGGAGGGGTCACTGTCTCCTTCCTTGCCTTGAGGGGACCTGGCAGACACTGGGAATCAGGAAGCAGGTCTCGTAGCTTGTGCTAGCCATAGCCATCCTGGTTTGAGTTCCTGGTTTGAGTTCAAAGCCCTGTTCCTGAGCCCCTAGAACCTGGCCAACAGGGAGTGGGGCTAAAGTGAGCTCACTCCTCGCTCTTTCCTCCCAACCTGGAAGCCCCTGACCTGAGTTCCACCTGCTTCCCCTGCCAGGGACGTGATGCAGAACCACCTCCTGCAGATGCTGTGTCTGGTGGCAATGGAGAAGCCCGCCTCCACCGACTCGGACGACGTACGCGATGAGAAGGTAGGTGGAGGTGTGCCCTGCCACTAGCCCCAGTGACCA